TGTAATCTAAACAATCATTCTTCAATGTCAGGCCAAGGTGCCTTCTTTCTTTATCTGAATGCATATACAACTTTTTTCCTTTTCAAATGCTTTAAATGTTTGTCTTCTTTTTACTCTTGCATGATTCTATACTTAGAATAATTTGTATGTCATCAATGTACACCTTAACTGTGTAACCTCCTCGGGGTGGAATACCTCGGTTAAACCACTATCGGTTTATTTCGACAAGTACATAGGTACTTATTTTCAATACAACCTTGGCTTAACTTGTAAATTTTTCTTAAAAATTTCAACAAGTGTTTAAACCAATCTTCCTTTAACAGAACCTCGGATTCACTTCAACTTGTAAATTTTTCATAAAATTTCAACAAGTGTCAAACATGACCTCAGTTTAACTTCAATATGTAAATTTTTCTTTAAAATTTCAACAAGTGTTAAACTGATCTTGGCTTGAAAATTCTAACTCCCAAGCATTATTCTCCAGCCCTCTGCCCTCTAATGTGAACTTAAGTTCCACTTGGGTTCTTATTAAGCATGTGGCTCTGACCTCGTTGCCTAAGTCTATATTTAAACAGAGACTAGCTGATGTTCTCAACCTTGGTTCTTCTGTTAATCTTACCCAAGTATACTTAGTTTCAATCTGTGTTTGACTCTGCCGATGTGGCAAGTCCAGGTTAATTCAACTTAGTTCAACTCTATTATATGCAAGTAGGAACTCTGCCATATAATAAGTCTAAGTTATTCGTCATGTTTCAATCAGAATTATTGCCAACTTGTTCAACTTTATTATATGCAAGTAGGAATTCTGCCATATAATAAGTCTAAGTTATTCGTCATGTTTCAATCAGAAACATCGTCATAGGACTGGTCGGTCTTATCACACAGATTTCAAATTCACAAAAATCAAACTAGCACTTTATTTTTACTTCAGCTGATATGCCCCATTGCCGGCAACCGAGATGATTCTATTTGGGCCAAGTTTGGCCTTCCTATTATCTTTCTTATTGCCGACAACCTTTCTCAGGATGAGGTCCCTAACCTTGAACTCTCTTAGGCTGACCTTCTTGTTGTAAGCCCTAGCAAGTTGTTGTTGGTATGCCCCCAGCCGAATTGCTGTTCTCTCGCACATTGCAGGTGGATTTCAACAGCATTTTCACGCTTTTTTACATAGGCTTCAGCTTCCTTTTGCATGTAAGGCCAAAAGAATCTTTGCGATATTGCTCTATGGGCAAGGGATCTGCCCTCTGCATGGCTTCCACCTACTCCTTTGTGGACCTTATATAAAAATTCTTTAACTTAGGCTGAGCTTTTCTCTTCTCGGACTTAATTATCTAAGTCGAGATCTTGTCTTCTAGAATCTGAGATCTACTCACTTAGGTTGGAGGGGTCAGTTGTGACTGCCTGTGCAGCCCTTAATCCTGCCTCTTGCTTACTGTATCCAGTGTTACCCCGGTCTCGCTTCGGCGAGCCGTTTCTCTTTTCTTGTGTTGACGCCTTTGTCCTTGGCATGTCTTCCTCGGCCCTTGCATACTTCTCTATTTTGGCCATGAGTTCCTCTATACTCTTTGGCAGTGTCTTTGTCAGTGATTTTCGTAGCAGACAGTTATCTTTCAGGCCGTTCTTAAAAGACACGACCGCCACCTCTTGGTTGCATCTTGGTATTCGGTTGAACACCTCGTAATATCTCTTGGCATAAGCGCTAAGGCTTTCATCCTCACTGATTCTTAGGGCCATCAGGGAGTCCACCCTTAATAGCTGTAGTTTGTTTGTCACAAACCTGGCCACGAACATCTCAGCCAGGCCTTCCCAGGTTTTCACAGTTTCTTTCGGTAACTTGTGAAACCAGTCTTATGCAATTTCCCCAAAGGACAAGGGGAACACCTTGCAGAGCAATGGCTCGTTCCCGGTATATAATGCCATCGAGTTTAGGTACAAGTTGACGTGAAAGTTCGGGTCCGACTTACCGTTGTATATCTGGAATCTCGGCATGTGGAACCTTTTCGAGACCTTAAATTTGTCCAACTCTACCAAGAACGGTGTCCTCGGCTTGACTGGAGAGGTCACCTTGGTATCTTGTCGCTTTCTCTAAAGGTAATCCCTCAGATCCTCCTTGGTTCGTCTAGGAGCTCGGCTATCTCTGGATTTCAGCCTCTTTGGTGCACTACTTCCAGTGTCATTGTGAGTCCTTTTAGACCTCCCTTTATTGGTCGTGTCAAAACAGAGTTCCTTCCCCTGAACATCCCGATGTTCATTGGTGCAGGTTTCTTTTGTTCGACGTGTCTTCTAGGATTTTCCATGCAAGACCTCCAGCAAAGGCCGGTAAGAATGTTCCTTGGTCCGGCCATGCTGAGGGACTGCAGGAACCGTTTTCTGCCCCCCTTTCTGGGCACCTTTCTTGGCTACTGGAATCGATGTATCTTGAAGCGAGAACGGTAGTTGCATGACGTTGTTCTGCATCATGAAATTGACGACTGTTTGCAGGTCCGCCAATTTGTCTGCCATTCCCTTTATCTCATCGTCCCTCCGCAGGCATCTATCTTTCCATACCTGGAGCTCATCCTCGTTATAATACCCGCTCCGGTCCAATTTCTTCGGTACGCCGCCCTCTTGGCCAGCGTCCTTTCCTCCGTGATTCTTATCATGAGTCTCTTCGTTGCAGTTGTCTTCTTCGACGTCAAGGTCAATATGTTTCCCATTCTCAGTAGGGGTGTAGTACCCAACCTTCTCTTTCTATTTGTCGTTGGCTATCTATTCTCCTTTCTTTCCCATAGACGGTGCCAAATTGTATGTGTCAATTTTCGACCACACTACCAATCAAGCACTCAGTTGGAGAACACTGACAGGATAGATTAAGCCCAAATGACCTATCACAAAAAGAAGAGATTCCGGCGGTGGTTCGTCCACTCGGGGGCACTCCGACAATTAAGTCAGTTATCTCTTCAAGATAACAAAAGTACTTAACTCACTATTCACAGCATAAAAAGCATACCTTGGACCCATGGAGATGCATCTCTTTTATAGCCAACACTTACCTAATCCCAATAGAAGCCTAGCTCCAATGGATTCTAGATTACTGCTAATCTTGGACTTCTAGTAGGATTGAGATAAACTCTCTAAGAGTCTTATCCTTATCCAAACTGAAGTTCTCTCCCAATTTAGGACTCTTGTCCCTTATCCGTTTACCCCGCATTCCAGTATTCTCGCAGATAACCTCTGCTTAGCCGAGATCATCTTGGTGTCATGATTAAGACACGCGACACCTCGGCTGACACTTCGGTGTCACCTCAGCCACGTGTTGTCATTCAAAAATTAACTTTAAAAAAAATAACTTTCAAAACTTTAAAAAAGGGTAACAAAAAATAAAAAATAAAAATTTAAATTGGGGCTCTCTATATTGTTTTTTTTTTTTTGTGGATGGACACTAGATTTATATTGTGTTTATCACAAAATATCTTATGTATTCAGATTTTTTTTTTTTTTTAAAAGAATGGAAAATTGACTGGTGTGAATTACACTAAAAATAAATCAGATTCACACTAAATATTATTTGAAAAAATTGGCATGTCGGACTTTGACATTAGCTCGAAAAGGTCAAAGCTTTCTTTGAGGTCATCATAATTGGGACTAATAAAATTAAAATGGCGTAGGGGGGGTCTTTTTCATGTATGTATTGTAGTTTCAACCTAACACACTATTCAATTTTAGTATATAAACCGGTTTATGATTTTAATTTTTTTTTTAATCAGGAAAGAGGATGAACAAATTGTTACTTAACATTATCCATTATCAATGTTTGCACCATTCTCCCCCTTTGTTGATGTAATATTTTTCTACTTTGTATTGGTTATCTTCATCAATAAAGATATCCTTTTGTTGATAAAAAAAAAAACCGAAATGTAATGTAATTCTGTTACTGGATGAACAAACGGTTACAAAATGGGTTCGTAATAGATTACGTCTATACATCCAGATGGTTGGTGTGAAGAAGTTTCATATTTAAGTAAAAGAAAATTTCTTGCATTGAATAGTGTACGATTCTGTAATCAAAGAATTGTAATTAAGGGGTTGCTTGGATGATCAGTGTATTTTTTAATTTTTTATGAAATATGAGTTGAATTTAGATTAGATTTGAAGTGATGTGTTAAAAAGATGACGTAATTTAAATAAGGTGATGTGACTTAAATATGATAATGACTTTTTGATTTTTTTCAAACATGCCAAACCAACCCTAAGTTGTTTGGGAAGTGTTAGATAAGCCACCCCTTTTTTCGGTTTTTTTATTTTATTTTATATATCTTTAGTGACTTTGTTTTTTGAAATTACGTCAATTTTTTTTTTAAAGTCTTTTTTGGTCTGCCTTATGTAAACAAATCTCAAAAGTAATTTTTTTTTTTTGAAACAATTGAAAGCTAAAATAAGCACCAAAAAAAGTCAACTATTTGTTTTTTACTTATTTTTGTCTTTTCTGAATTTTTTTTTAAAAAGTAATTTTTTAATTCATCTCATCAAATAAAATCTAAAAGTTTAAAACTTATTAAATTTTTGATTTTTTTTTAACTAAAGATGTAAATAAGTTTAAAAAAAAAAAATACTTAAAAAACTCTAAACATCAAATCAAATGCAGTAAAAAAAAAAAAGTACAGCAATCAAAGAATCTAGTACAATGAACATTATGTAAAGAAAAAAGATTCTCTCCATTTGAAATTATTTTGTCCAGCATGAAAGTGGAGAACTCAAAAATAATATAATTCTCATATTAATATTTTCAAAAAAAGGATTTCACCAATTGAAAGATCTCATTAAATATTTTTAATTTGTATTATTTTTCATATGAATAATTTGAGACCAACGTAGTATTTGACATCTCATAATGTAAAAGACATGAAAATATGATAGTATTTTTCATTCTCTCTCTCTATATATATATATATGTATATATCTCTTCGTATTATGTATATTAAAATGTTACATACTAAGAAAAAAAGAAAAAAAGCAAAAAATTACACAATTCAAATGTGTGGTGTAGAGATTTAAACATATGCTTATTATTTTTTTATATCACATTTAGTTTATTATCTGATATAACACATACACAAAATAATAAATTAAATGTGATATAATAAGATGGCGTGCGTAACATTATTGATAATACGATAAACCTACTCAAAGAATATCTTCCCATGAGTGGCCTTCATCATCCAAGAACTTCTCCCAAGCTTCAAAGATATTGGAAGTTGGTGATTGACTAGAAGCGTATGTTGGGCCAATCTTGCTTTCAACTTGGTTGATACTAGGAAGTGCACTCTCTGATGATTGAGTATGACAATCACTGTTCATGTTGTTACAATTGGCACCAACAACTTGTGGTTGAAACCCATCTCCAAACCATGCAATTGCTTTATCAATATCAGCGAAGTCATTGAATTGTTGTTGAGAGTTCACATTCACATCCAAGTTTGGAAACTCCAATGGTGCTTGTTGTGGGATAGTAGTGTTGTTGTTGTTGTAGTGTCCCGAGAGACTAGTTTGAGTTTGTGCTATGTTTGGAAGGGGGGTGGTTGTGTTTATGACTTGCATCATGGTTTGAAGTAGTTGGATTTTGACTAGTTGAGTAGTGGCATCTGAGTGTTGCCTAAAAGCATTGTTGTTGTCCCAAGGGTTCATCAAATTGGTCAAGTTTGAGGCATATAGCAAGTGAGCAAGGTTGGCAAGCAAGTTGAGATCAGAGATGGGCTTGTGGGTTTGTGGATCAATACCCCTTTGGAGGAGCTTCTTCCTGAGATGGGTGTTCCAATGGTTCTTGATTTCGTTGTCAGTCCGTCCCGGAAGATGAGAAGCAATCTTTGACCATCTGCAATTAGAAAATTATTAGATACTTCTTGAACAAAATTCTTAAAAATTACTTGATACAATGGATTTTATTTAATAAAATGGATGAGTCACATGTAAGGATCCTAATCTTTCTTACACACACACATATATTTTTGTGTGAAAAGATTCTATAAGCGTAAATTCTCTTTTTAGTATTATTTTAGAGGGCTCCACCTTGTGAATGTATTGTATATCTTTTGTGGCACGGTTTCTATATTCTAAGTTTTTAGTATTACTAGCGACGTTAAACAAAAATTTCAATAAACACGTACTTGTTTCCAAGAACCGAGTGGAGGTTGATGATGATTTGCTCTTCTTCATCCGAGTATTTTCCTCTCTTAATATCCGGCCTCAGATAGTTAGTCCACCTGAGTCTGCAACTCTTTCCACACCTGTTCAAGCCCGCACGTTTTGGCAGTGCCCTCCAACTCCCATGGCCATGTAGTTGAACATAATCAAGGAGTTTCTCATCTTCCTCCGGCGTCCAAGGTCCCTTCTTGATCAAACCACTGTTTTCATCACAACATGGAGCTCTAACCATTTTGCCGCAAGACACACTAAACAAACACCTAACTTGAAAGTTGAGAAATTAAGAGACTTGTTTGTGTGTGTGTGTGTGTGGGAGAGAGAGAGAGAGAGAGAGAGAGAGAGAGAGGAGGGGAGAGAGAGATAAATCTACGACTAGACTTGGATTATGTTGCAAGATATGGTTAGTTTTTATAAGTGCATGGGAGGAAGCAATTAACACGATGTAGTCAATTTTGATTTTTTCTTTTAATATTTTAAACCAAAAGCCTCCAAGCACAAGGCAAGTGAAACGGAAAGTCGCCTAGCTTAGCCTTTTTCAACAAAAGGGAGAAACAAAAAAGAGTTAAATATGATCATTAAAATTAGGGTTAGGTATTGCTAATGTCATTCATGAATAGTAAAAATGACTTAGTTTTTTCTAAAACCATAGGTGTAGAAAGCCACCATTACTATTTACGCGTCTTCGTGTTCAAACGTTATTCTTTCAGAATTTTTATACTGAATCTTCTATGGGCCAAGTACACAGGGCTAACATACATTCAAACGTTATTTTTTCATAATTTTTATTCTGAATCTCTTTATATTGAATCTTGTATGAGCAATGGTACATGGGGATGATATGCATTCAAACGTTATTCTTTCAAAAAATTTATATTGAATCTTTTATGAGCAAGGATACATAGGGAAAGTTGAAGACAATCGTCTCATTAGGATTTAAAAAAAAAAAAAAAATCATTCAATTTAGTTTTGAGTTTTCAAACTAATTTTTGAGTTTTTTATTTTTTGTGTTTTGTTGTCTTTAGTGGTTTTTTTTTTAAAAATATATTTTAGTCATTTTAAAAGTAAAATAAAATAAAATAAAAATTACCTAAAAAGTAAAATATTTATGGGGGAAATCTTAAAAAAAATAAAATTACAAATACAATTTTTTTTGTATTAATTAAAATTTTATATTTTTTGTATTTAATAAATTATTTAAAGATTTTTTCATAAATATTTTACTTTGTAGGTGCATTTAGGTTAAGTGCATATAAAAATAATTTTTTCATTAAAATATTATTAAAATTCACTAAATACAATAGGTAAGAAAAATAAAAAAATTCAAAAGGTAAATTACACTTTGCACCTTACACTTTACACCAACTTATACTTTGACTCATGAAATCTTGATAGTCAACCTCTTGTTCTCTTGGTCAAATCCCACTTTGATCCCTAGACAAGTATCAATGTCCCACTTATGTTACTTCACTGTTTAAATCTTTAACATAATCCAGTCATGTGACAAAAATGTGACAAAATGAAGGTAAGAGAAGAAAATCATTCTCATTTTTCACCAATACACATTTTATTCCAAAATTTATATCAAATTGTGATTGTATTAAGCTAAAACAAAACGCAAATTATGAACAATTAAGCAAATAAACTAGGATTTTGCATAAATTGAAATTAAAAAATTCTATTTTTTTACAGTAACACAGTATTTTGTTTATTCTTATTCCTTTCTCTTCGATTTCTCTGCTGCCTTTTTTTTTTTATATTTCAAAACCTTTATTTTCTTACCTCTTCGTCTCAATTTTCAGCATACGAACATATATATACATATATATACTAGTGGTGAATCTGCTGCCCATGTGTTGCTACATTGTCCATTTTCCTGGAAAGTTTGGTCAGATCTGTTACAATGGTGGGGGTGCCTGTGGGTGGTGCCTAGGTCTGTTGATCGATTGTTTTATTGGTGGTTAGGTGGCCATTTTAAGAACAAGGTTAGGAGATTATGGAGGGTTTTACCTCTGATTGCTCTATGGTCCATTTGGAAGTGTAGAAATGATTGCATATTTAATGGGGTGCAGCCTTGTGGAGTTGATCTCAGTGAGCTCATTAAGGTTCGATTTGCCTTATGGAGTAAGGCCTCCAGGGTAGGGAAGATGTACTCGGTCAATGATTTTATCAACAACATTGATCAGGTAAAGGCATGTGTTTGAGGAAGGTTGCAGCTGGCAGTGTCCTTCTGTTGTGTGCATCTGCTGTCTGCATGATCGGTTTGGTCTGTTTGGGGACTGTTAGTCTGTCAGAGGGAGTCTACAGCTGCCACTGTTTGATACTCTGCATCTGAGTAGCAGAACATGCTCTAGTCTTGCATTGTTGTTGTAGCTGGTGCAAGCCACCTGCCTATCTACATTCTTCAGCTGCTGCTCAAGCTTGTATTGTATGGTGGCTTGTATGGTGGCTGCTAGTCTGCGGGTTGGTAGCACACTTTGCCAGATGCTAGGTGCATTTTCAGAGGGCATGTGTTTCCACAGCAAGGTTGTCTGTTCTTGTGAATGGTTCACCAACAGAGGAGTTCTCTCCACAAAAGGGTCTTAGACAAGGTGACTCTCTATCTCCTTTTTTATTTATTATAGTGGCAGAAGGGTTGAATGTATTGATGCACAAAGCTTATGAAAAAGGGATCATTAAAGGGGTAAAAGTTGGGGTGAAAGAAGTGATGATTTCTCATCTCCAATTTGCCGATGATTCGATGTTGTTTTGTGAGGTTGACTTGGATCAAATAATTCATATAAAGAGGGTTCTAAGATGTTTTGAAATACTTTCTGGAATGAGCATAAACTTTCATAAGAGTGTAGTTTGTGGTGTAGGCGTGGATGTTGAGGCCTTGATATCCTATGCTGATATTGTAAATTGCAAGGTCCAAGGCTTACCAATGAAATTCTTGGGCCTTCCATTAGGTGCTAATCCAGGTAGGAAATCAACCTGGAAGCCAGTGTTGGATAAGGTTAGAGCTAAGTTGGCTGGTTGGAAGAGAAGAACTCTATCTTTTGTAAGCAGGTTAATGTTGATCAAGGCTGTCCTGTTTAGTCTACCTATTTATTATCTTTCTCTGTTCAGAATGCCTAATGGAGTTTTTAGAGAAATTGAAAGGCTCCAAGCTGCTTTCATTTGGGGAGGAAACGATCTGAAGAGGAAGGTCCACCTGGTAACATGGGCTAATGTGACAAAAAGTAGGGAGTATGGTGGCCTTGGTATTAGAAGAATCAAGGATGTCAATTCTAGCCTTCTCCTTAAATCGTGGTGGAAATTCGGGAAGGAAGTAAATGTTTTACGGAGAAGGTTGTTGTGTAGTAAATACATGATTGAGGAGGGTAGTTGGATCCCATTTGCTAGTTTGTCTTATAGTCACTCTAGAATGTGGACTGATATTATCATAGTGGCAAAGCATCATCAACAGTTAGTGGAGTTCTATGTAGAGAAGTTTCAGTTAAGGATTGGGAATAGGAAAAGGATCAAGTTTTGGCATGATTGTTGGCTTGGTAGCAGATGTTTAAAAGCCGAGTTCCCTAGACTCTTTAGTTTGTCTATTGATAAAGGTGGATCACTCTTCAACTTTTATGATAGGAGATCTAGTTTGGAGGAGTGGAATTTAAACTTTAGGAGAAATCTTTATGATTGGGAAAAGGCTGAAGTAAATAGATTGGTTGTTGTTCTAAAGGATGACCCTTATTTACGCATTAATGTGGAGGACTGTGCTACATGGAATGGGTCAGCATGTGGTAGCCTCAAGGCATCTGTTTTGTACAAGTTTAGTGACTCTTTTTTTAGGCCCTTATCTGACATTAAGTAAGTTTGTGTGGAACACTGTTTTACATCCTAAAGTTCAATTTTTTGGTTGGCTAGCTTGGAGGAATAGAGTGAAAACTAGAGATTTATACTTGAGAGATTACTAGCAAAGAATGGTGTTTTTTCTTGGTGGAGCTTTGGGTACATCATCATATGCAGAGTTGACCTGAACCATAGGACAAGTGGTCGGGTTGTTGTATCTTGGAGGGGATAAGTTATAGTTTAGTGACTGCTGCATCGGTAATTGGGTTCTTCCTCTCATAATGAACTTGATCTCCTTAAACAAAACGAGATATCCGTGCCTCAGTTTGATCTATTTGTATCTCATTTTCTTTGCATTATTTATCAATAAAATATAATTCTTCTAGTGCTTTCACCAATACCTTATGTACCGAATTAAACTGAAACTAACCGTAAGTTTCGCATATTAAACATATTTAATGAAATTGGTTAAGTACAAAATTTAGTTGATTCACTTAAATTATTTATTTTTCTTAAATATTATAGATTGACAATAGACATTGACAATGTGATACGTTATTAGCTTACCACTCATATGTGCTTGAGTCAAATTTTGCTACTAGTATGCCTATATAATTATATCAAATGTTTATATCATTTTCAATTTTTTTGTTTTAATTCTATTTGATAGGCTTGTAATGTAATAGTTTTAAATTTTAGTGTTGCTTTGGTGTCAAGAATTTGATTTTCAGTTTATATTTTGTTTCTAATTTTATTTTAGTAAAAGTTTGATGACTTAGTATTTATTAATTCTTTTGTTTGTATTTTTGTGAATTGTTGGATTGGATATTGAAGTAATATACAAATAACTAATTTAATATTTTTATATAAATTATTTACTATACTACAAATTTAAGAAGTAACTCAAATTTAAAATGTAATATATCAAAAATCACACCAAGTGGAACCGTTTGAATTGGTGCGATTTAGTGAAAAATTTAATATCTATCGATTCTCAATATAATAGAATCAATATTATCAGTTCGATATAAAATTTCACCAAAACACTGACCGCTCCAAACTAATTACATCCCTATTTACAATACGTATCTCTGTTGAAATTTAATATGGTAAATTACAAATATAACCTTAAAGTTTAATTAAAATATAAATGATCTCTTATGGTTTTAGAAATTACATTGTAATAATACAAAATTACTTTGTCTTTCTTTCTTAACCTCGTCTAATGTACAGTAATAAAAGTAAAGTTTAACCCAAATCTTTTACTCTCAACTAATCGGTGCTTACGTGCCACTCTAAATACTTACATTTTCAAAATGCCACATCATGAGAGTATACAAAGATTGGCCCCCTCTTTTCACAATTTTATGAGTAAATCAACTCTTTTTATATCTTAAGAATTTTTATCTAGAAAGAACCATGTTTGTGTTAAATTACTATGTACTTTTGTAACATTTTTATAACAAATATAAGATATCAATAAAAAGTGGACTCTAATTGCGTAAAATAAAATTTACAATCATTGAATTGTTTATCTCCTACATGTACAATGACCATAAATATTATTGTCAGTTTTTAAAATTGGTAAAATAATAAGGATTGGCATGTATTTTAAAATAATAAATTAACATAACAGCACTTAACCTAACGATATTTAATTTAAACATTGTAAAATAAGAAAATAACTCTTACTGGTGAAACAAATTAGGATAGACAAGAATTTTAAGAAATTATGTTAACTTACCACGACTTGACCTAATGAGGTTTAATATTGTTAATTTTTAAATAACAAAGGAATAAATAAACATAACAATCATGAGTATATAGTAATAATAAGCCTACATAACAAAAAAATGAAAGGTTTAACATCAAAGCTAATAAACCATCAAAATAATTTATACATATAAACATATATTTATGTCATGATTCATAATAATATTATCATAAATTTGTTAAAAATATTAATTTTATTACGTGCATCGCATAGATCAACCACTAGTTATAATATAATAACTGCGTGATTACATAGTCAAATTACAAGACTGATCTCATACAAATGAATGGGAGCTAAAACATGTACAAGTACTCATATGAACACAACAAACATTGTAATTTGCATCATTTGACCAAATAAACAATAATCCAAGTGTTCTTAAATGAAAAGCCATTTAGATTAAGAAGATTCACCTTCACCACAAACTTATACAATGCATCTATCAAGGAAGTGAGGAATGGGATACTTTGGTCTTCATATGCAACAGCTTACAATTCCAACCGCTTAAGATTACAAAATTCTGGAATTAAAAAACAAAACTACCACGCAATGGTTATGCCAACTAACCAGAGAATCCAGGTCCAGTACAAGTGTCTCTAGCTAACAGAGTACACCAGAGAAACGGTAAAATGCTGAACAAACTAAGGCCAAGTTTGGCATGATTGAAAAAAGACAAAAAGTCACTATCCTATTTAAGTCACATCATCTTATTTAAGTCACATCACCTCTTAAGGTTGCTGATGCTTATGATCATTGAACAAATTCTTTTCTTCCATATTGACATGGTTTTTGGCCAATCCTGTTCTTGTGACTTTCTGGGCACATAAACAAAGTTTATTCCATTTTATTAAGTGTTTTGGTATTCAGATGATCTAAGTGTGACCTTTTCTGTGCAGATAAATGAATTTGTAAAACTTGGTGGGGACCAACTTGTTCCCTATTATGCTGATATTCTGGGAGCTATTTTGCCCTGCATATCTGACAAAGAAGAAAAAATAAGAGTTGTAAGTTGACTTGCTCTTCTCTTTCATCTCTAATACTATCTTTATCATCTCATTTTCTTTCTTTTTTGCTCACAATCTCCCTTCAGTACAGAAACAACCCCAACAAACTCCAAACAAAGGAGGGAAAAAGAAAGAAAGAAAGATAATATGGGTGGTTATGATAGTTCTGTAAAAAATTATTTTCATATTTTTTCCTTTCTTCTTTGTTACTACCAGGTCGCTCATGAGACCAATGAAGAACTTCGGGCAATCAAGGCTGATCCAGCTGAAGGATTTAATGTAGAAGCAATCTTATCTATTGCAAGGAGGTATAGTTCTTGTAACCTGGGGAAAATTCTAGGTTTATTAGTATTGGGGATTTTTAATCTTATGTGTTGATTTAGCTTTTCACTTCTTAAAAAAGATAAAATAAGCTGCATTTATAATTTCTATAAAAAAGGAGTGGTAGTGCATAAATTGGTTTGATGGTAGTTGCCATTGATCGTTCTTCTTATCAGGCAGTTGTCCAGTGAATATGAGGCGACTCGAATTGAAGCATTGCACTGGATTATGACTCTTCTAAATAGACATCGTGCAGAGGTAACCATGGAAGAATAGAGCACTTGCCAATCAGTTCATGTGCACACTTTTTCTTGGTCTGATATACCTGTGGATATGTTCTCTTTGGGATCTGGAGTTACCTTAGTTTTCATTTTTACGCATTAGTTTTTATTCAGTTGTTTTTTATTGTTATTTTAATAAAATGTTAATTTTACTTTCTGTTATTTTTGGTTGGGGTGGTTCAGTCATGATGTCAATGTTCTAAAAATCATGCTAATCATAACTGTAAAGTCAATTTCGGTTTATCGCGCCTATAAGGCTTTCAATTTCTAGTCCAAAGGTTGTCATTTCAACAAATTTTCTCATAACTGACAGATATAAGTTTATAAACATGTAATTCACACATTTAAACATGGAATTTCACATAAAGCACATAAACACACATATAATGAGGGAATTAAAGAATATGAAAATATGAGAGAGTTGGGTTATTACAATAAGATAGAGAATTCTAAGTATGGCGTTTTATGTAGCCTAGTTGAGAATGTAAAGAGATTTCCAATATCCTAGGGATAGTGGGAATGACGTACGTGCCTACTAGTGGATTACTTCATTAGGGGAAAATAGTCTAAATTTTTAGTTGTATGGTAGCGAATGTAAAAATTTTTCACATCATCACTGGGTGACTGAGAGGAAAACGTTCATGATTGATTCGCAAGATAATAAAAAGCCTAGGATAGTGCCAAAGGCTCTCTAGTCCCCCATTTTTAGAAAGTGAATCAATGTTGCACATTTAAAGATGAAATCTTTAAGGATTAACCATTTCTAGGATTTTATTGACTTTACGCTATGACATGAAACTGTTCTAAATTTATGCGTGATTTGGATAGTCATTTTTGAGGCATAAGGCTTGCTGGATACCGAAAAGTTCCATCATTGAGGGAGGTGTCGACTATGAGAAGACTTCTTCAGGGAGAGTGAGGTTACTTCGACTTAGGTTATGATTGACATGAGTTCGGAACTTTACTTTGTGGACATTGTGACCCAACTTCTCATTAGAGAATTTGATAAGTACAACCGTAGGGATTTACCTTCTAGTTTTTGCTGAGAAAAGTTAGGAGCTCAAAAGATGGCTAGTTCTAATAAATCTTTTACGACCTAAAGTAGTTATCTAATTAGTGGTTCTTAGATTTCATGGAGCCATGATAGGCCAATAATGATCGATGAAGACCACTTTAGTGTGATCAATGGTCCAAAAGAAGTTTTTCTTTACTTAGTTATTATGAACTAAGAATTTATAGGGTTGTCGCCATCTAGGGTTGGCAATCCTCTGTTTTAGACTTGATGGACATGGGTGATACAATTTATATGCTCGGATGTATGATCCTTAGGGATTATTCTGGGAGAATTCCCATTTTGTCTTTGATGACTCACAAAAGGAAAATCCTAGAATGATTTTAGATGCAAAATTGCAAACCCATTGATTTACTTATTTGTAAGATTTAGAGTCACAATTATTGAGTAAATCTTCAGATTGTCTCAAAGAGAAACAAATGACCTATATTCCTTGATCTTTTGTTACACTATGTGGGCGTATTTGGCATGATGAGTGTTATATTTTGTAAATGGTTACCTGTGTAGTTTAGACCTTGACCTTGCTCATTAGACTATGGATAGGATGGTCGGCTGGTAGTGTATAAATTTACCCCTTGTAAGATTCAATGTGCTAGATAGGTGCACCTTAAATGAATGAAAATTGGTCACCAACATGTCTCTAGAGAGGTGGTTGCATAAGAGGTAGTGATGTTGAACCACTTTATATGATGTGCACATGGTGGATTACATTGTATATGCTTATCGCAAAAGATGCTAATAGGGCCTATGTTCGGAATCTAGAATTGTGCAAATTGTGGTTGTGTCTTTCTGTCAATCGCTTGCTTTTGTGAGATTATGAAATATTGATGCAATTATGTGTGTAGCATAATAATTAGCAAATGATGATGTTAGTATGCAAGATTGGCTCACTCATATGAGCGAAAATGTGACTAGTAGCTTATTTTATTTGGAGTTAAGAAAGGCTTAAATTATCCACTATGTATGTCGCCTTAGTTGCAACCAAGATGAGGTCGTGCCAAAGACCAAACATGGATGTTAGTACCCATTTTCCATGTTCTTCATGTTATGATTAGTCGGATGGAAGATATCATTTGGTGCCTAGAAGGCGAGCAAATAGAGAATTTGGGTTAGGTAATAGAAAGAGACTTGTGTGCTTAAGAGTGACTAGACTAAGATCTGTACGGTGTATCGAGTATGACGTCACTCTTTGGAAGAGTTACTCCATCTTAGTATGAATTCATACTACATCTTCTTGGCAACCGAGTTATGAGGTGAGAGAATGGATCTCTGCTTCCTCATCGTGTGAGTCTTATATGTGATTATTGATATAACTTTCACTTTTGTACCCTTTTTTGACATTTGACTATGTCATAAGGTAAGTGGTTGATGTTCAGCTACTTTGGTATATTGCCTTGCAGTCATGAATGATTTGGCCTTAAGGAACATCACTAGGAAAGTGGTCAATTCTAAACTAAATTGCATGAGGGCGAAGGGAAGATTATCTAGTATTACGCATCTATTGTATATTCATTGCCGACAACTTACATCGCTATGTATGATAGGCGGATTGAGTGTGAATATATTGCAATATTTGAGATGGTCAAACATGCTCTTTTAAGGGATTAGAAATGTTTTTGAACCAGTGTAATTGGATGAGTCTGGGTGCTATAATGAGGGACCAAATACACATGCACACATACACATGTTGAAAGGCCAACACTTAGACACAAATTGGACAACTCTCAAACACATTTGAAAGAAGGTAATCATGGACATATAGCATGCAACATAAGCATTAAAAATCATGTTAAAACATGGTGCCAAACCAAGCAATAAGTCAAGCCAAACAATGCAACAAATGGCCTAAGTGCTCAAAGCAAACCAATGGAGTATTGAATTACACTTAGCAAGACCAAACATGGCATGAACTTATTGACCAAAAACAGGGTTTTAGCACATTATGACAAGGCCTAAAGATCACTTAGATGGCATCTAAGTGGCTCAAATTCAAAGGCATACGCAATGGCCAAAACATGGAGCATATTACACAAGCTTCCAAAGCATTAAAGATGCGTCCAAGGTAAATATATAGGCATGCAAATGGGACTGAAATGACATGGTGGATGATTCCAAATCACCAAATCAATGCAAACATGTCATGCTATACATTCACATACTTGAAGCATACAAGCTCGAATACAAAGGGGCTATACTAAGCATGCCAAATCCGACCAAAGCAACTATGGACAGACCTAAAACATGGAAAAATATGCACAAAATCTTCACAAGGCTAAGCCTAAAACATGCTAGAACTAAGGCTAACAACCTAAGGCATATCAAGGCAATATCATGGCATTACATGGTAGGTATGCTAAGCATGCATTGTGTACCAAAACCAAGTAAAAACAGAGGTATAATATGACATATTAAACACAAAAAACAGCCAAGGCATGGTCAAAATAAAGCTTAGCTAGGTGCTCCCTCAAGAGGCCAAAAATGGTCCTTTTCAAGGACAACAAGGGAAGGGGATGGCCCTCTCCTTTTGGAGACTTCAAGGCACCATCTCCACCACTGAAATCCCTCAAGATTTCAGTGGTGAAGAGGCCCAAACACCAAAGTCTCGAAACTCACTCAAAATGGCTCAAAAAGGGGCCTTTCAAGGCCTAAGAGGGGTCAAATACCCTCAACCCACAAAACACTCTTAATAAACAATCAAGAGGGATAAAAAAAAGAACTTTTTTGTATTATACACTAAGCACAAAAATAGTTCAAAGATAGGAAAAAACAAGATGCAAAAATGGGGTAAAAAGGGGCAAGGTTCTTACCCTTGAAGACCTCTTCAACAATGGTGCTCCAATGGCCCTCCTTGGCTTGAATTCAACACCAAAACACCAAAATCAGCCGCTTAGAACCTCAGGAGGCAAAGGAAGGTGAAACAATATGTGTTTGTGTGCAATAGTATGGACTAAAACACAATTTAACACACACAAGGGTAAAAAGAGAGATAGAAAGTGTATGGTTTCTAACCCTAGAACTCAAAACCCTAAGAATGGCTGTCTAAACTCTCTAAAATATCTCAAGTCTCTAACCCTAAAGCCAAGAGAGAAGACCTTTCTTTATAGAGGCTTTTTGTGTTGTAAAGCTTACAAGACAAGCTTCTAAAGAGGGAGATCCCTCCATACACGTGTATGGAGGGGAGCCAAAAGCAAGACAGCTGTCTTAAATGTCATTTCGACAAAAAACAGTGCCGACCGGCAACAAAGCATGCCGACCGGCAATAAAGTGTGCCGACCGGCAAACAAAAGTGCCGATGGTAGAAAAAGACCAGCCGGTGGCCTCCAGCCACTGCCGGTGGTGTGTAGGGATGTCTCACAAGGCATTCCCTGCCCTTCCAAGGCAAAACACAAGTGTTTGGTGCAGAACCAGACACTAAACAGTCGAGTTCGGAGATCCTGAGGCAAGGCGCGCGAGCCGAGACCTCCGGGGACTCCAAACGAACACAAACATGGATAATCACCGAGTGTTCCAAGCGGTGACGTCCGAGTCTTGAGGACGGTCAAAAATGGGGTGTCTACACAATGCACTGTGAGTAATAGTACTCCATATATATATTATTTTCCGTTAATAATCCTTGTTATTAGCATTCTGTTTTCCATGGCAATATGGTAAAACATATGTGGATTGAGAATTGGTGTAATCCTATGTGGACGTTGAAAGAGTTGGCTTAGTTCTGTGTTCTGATTACGATTCAGGGTTATCGGTAATGTGCTATAACCTATAAGTTACCTATGATGCCGCATAATAAGTGTATATGAACTATTAAGATGATGGAATTAGTTAATAAAAAGAGTTCGTGGAAATGATATTCTGAATGGGAACATGATATCCTGAGTACCCTATTAGAAATTCCTACAGTCTGTTGAGTACTACATGTCTTATGATATAGGTGTTTGCCTCTCATAAATGAATTTAATTGGGATTGC